ACAATATTGCGATTGCAATTGTGAGTGAGTTCGTAGGGCTATCTCCACGCCAGAGCTACCGACGGGCGTTGCAGCCGAAAAAGAATACGAATTGCGACGCCAGATCTGGGATCTGGAGGGCTCGCCCCGATGACTGTTGAGGTGTGTAAATGATCCAATCCCAAAAAGGATGGGGTCGGCATCACTGGACCCGCTGAAAACTCGGAGACGGAGATGCCGGAGAATTTCGAAACGTACAAGCAATCTATCTCCACGACGTGTGTCATAATACTGTAATTGTTTTGAAAAAGGATCTGGATGCCTAGGATACTGCCCTCCCCTCCCGAGGAGCCCAGATGACACACCCACCCAGTGACGCAGTTGAACGGGTTGCTATAGTCCGCGCGCCGACTCCATGGTTGGAGATGCGCCGCGGGGGGATCAGTGCGACTCGAAACATTTTACCTTGCATGTTATGGTAGGTTCGATCGGGCTTAGCAATCCATTCGTTCGGCAAATGGATGCGAAAGTGCGGGGCGGGATGGGGATCTGACGGAGGGAGTAAGAGGGGCGCTTCGTTGCATTGGTCGTCGTCATGCTTATTGGTCAGACGAGAGAGACAAGATAGATATGTATGAATATATACACTTAGCCTTGCTCGATGCATTAGTACGAGCGGGGAGATCATTAATCAGACCCGAGAGAGGGAAGGATGATGATGATGTTCAGAAAGAGAGCCACGTTTGGCAACCCAGAAGGGATGAAAGGTGTAGCCGAGGGCTCTCCCGCTCGCGTATGGAGCGAGCGGGGGGCATGTGGGCGCCAGAAGATCGTCAGAAGGAACGAGAAATGAGGCGTTGCCAGTTGCCCTTGGGGACTCGGCCTCCTATATGGAGCGAGATGAAGCAGAATGCGTCGAGCTCTGGCCGTGTCCCCAGCGCGGGAAGCCCGAAGAATGGAAAACGTGAAAGCCACGTTTGGTAACATGCTCCGAGTATCAGCAGTAACCGGATAGCGGATTCTATATCTCGCGGTTGCTTTCCTGGCGAGCATAGAGGGTTCGTATAAAGGCAGAGCAGCGTGCATCAGAGAGAGAGGCTCCTCCCCAGTCCCTGCCTGCCTGCCTTTGCTCCTTGTCACTCCACAGTTTGCTTTCGCAGCCACAGATCCCAGATTGTTCTATAGCGTGGTGAGTAACTCCGAAAAAGACCAAAAATGCGGGGGTATATTTTTGTTGAAAAAGGGAAACATGTTTGTTGATGATGGGCGGGTCCGTGACGCGATGCCGGGCGTGTGCCAAACACCGCATCTGTCGGACAGCCTAGTCCTGGCCATCTCTGTCTCTTTCTGTTTTCTCGCTGTCCCCATCGCCTTGGACAGCATAGACACCTCCATCGGCAGTAAGCTTCGCCACAAGCACTTTGAATAGCATGTGTCTCGTCGAGGGCTCGCTCGAGTACTCAACATCAACATGCAAGATGTGCACCGTCATGAAGGAGGTCTACAACGTGCGCAAGGGCGTCTGTCCTCATAAATCCAAAATGCAGGTCTGTCGTCGACGGGAGAATCATCCTCGAGCCGACATTGTCTATCACACAAACGCCGAGATCAGGACGTTCAATGGGTGTGGGTACTGCAAGGCGCGTGTCGTCCTCGTCCAGCACGTGTGGGCCGCATGCTCACTCGATCGTTTGTTGCTTTACACAGTGGGCGGATGCGCATGCTGAACTGGCAAAACGTGGACTGCTCCAGAACACTGGCTGGCCGGGCTGCTGTGAGTCTTTCGTCGTCTGTCGTCGTTCGTCGTCGCTGTTCCTGACTGACTCCTCATCGCCGTGTGTTGACATCTGCGTTAACTGACTCGTCGTCTTACCCCGCCTTTTACCCCAACCTCACATCTCAAACCCATCCCCAACGATTATCTAGGCCGCGCGCCATCGCAACACGAGTATACCCAATACATAAAACCAGAGGACTGGACAGCTGTCAGCCATCTCTACAAGCTTTCCCGCTCGAGCGCTCCCAGTGACAATCCCAAAAATGCTGCTGCGGCGGGCAAAGAAGACCCTCCATCGACACCAAAGCAACGCACTACACTCCGCGCCAAGCAGTCTTCTACAGCGGGAGGCCCATCCACCAGTTCTGCGAGCAGCGCATCGACGCCGACGCCTGGCAGCCGTTCCACTCGTGTTGTTCCCGCAGACTCATCATTGACGTCGTCTATCATTCGCTCTACCACCCCACCTCTGGTCTCTTCCTCGTCATCGTCGAATGTCCACCAACGTGGTGGTGCAAAACGAAGTGGGGCGGCGGACCTAAAAACATCGCCGTCGCCTTCTGACGAATCCCCAGACACCCCGCCGACCCGCCCTTATCGTGAGCTGTCTGCTGCTGCTGCTGGCGGTGTGGTCCCCAACGCCAAAAAGCATGATCCCAATAATGTTCATCGCTATGCCACTGCCACGCGCGACGTCACCGTCGTCCGCTACGCTCCTCCCAGCGAGTTTGACGTCCCCATCACCACGACGATGGTGCCTGCTGCTAGCTCGCGCAGCAGTCGGCAGACCGTCGCGATCCAGACGCAGAACGGGTTCTACTCGCTCCCGCCCTCGGCGTCCTCGTCTAAAACCCGCCTCAGCCATTCGTCTCCCTCGGGCAGCTCAAATGGATCGGGCTCGTCCCCCAACGCATCCCTCGTTCCCCTCGATTCATCATCAGCCACCACCGCTGCTCGATCCTCTACTGCTGCTGCTGCTCAGCAACATCCGTCGTCCTCGATCACGCCGCCTGCGATTGAGCGTGGCTTGCCTCCCATGGTCCAGATCGTCCCTCTCCCCACACGCAATCTTCCCGAGAGCCGTCTTCCGCCTGCTGCACCTCCTGCGCCTGCTGCGATGGGAGGAGCGCGGTACTCTACACCCGCATTCGTCATCGCCCCCAACGCCGAGCTCTACCCCAACTCGAATTTCATCCACTCCTCGTCGAAATCCTCTTCATCGTCTTCGTCCTCGTCTGATAGTGGGGACGGCTCCGAGACGTCCGTGGGCTCCTCGCACAGCGACGGAGCCTCTACTGCGCGCGGTGGATCGTCCTCTGCGTCCAGCAGCGACTTTACGGACTTTATGTCGGATGATTCAGAGGAGGATGTGCAGCGCGAGGCGGAGGAGCGCGCGGCGGAGGCTCAGCGCCAGCGCGTGGAGCGCGCAGAGGACCGCGAGTTTAGGGATGCGCAGAGGAGGCTCGAGGCGTTTGATTTGACGGAGAGTATGGGCATTAGTGTGAGGCCTGCTCCGACTGGTGCTAGTTTTGGTGCGGGAGGAGGAGGGACGATTGGGAGGCGTGGGGGAGCGTTGCAGAGCGTTACGGTGGGACGGTATCGCTGACACCCGTACGCACACGAACGAAAAAAACAAGGGTGTCTACTGCCATGACATCCAACGAAGACACTCATTTTGACGATGGCTTTTTCTGTTGCTGCTGCTGATTGTTTACGAAGGAAAAAGAGACCAATGGGAGATCGCTCCGAACGACCGAATGACCGACCGACGGACCCCACCGACTGGCTAGGCCCAGTTGACAGGCGATCGACCATTCCGCTTGTTCACTTCATGCTGTCTATTGTTACGTCGTTCGGTCTGGAACAATCTCTATGCTCAACAATAGTTTGTCTGATCTTCCTCTCTTCCTCCCTCGCTTGCTTCCTCGTTTTGAATGCACAAATCATCCCTATCCATCCATCCATGCCTGCTCGCCTCCCCCATCATTCACTTATTCATTCACTCTCCCATTCCTTCACTCAATGGTTCAACCCATGACTGTCGTCGATTTCCACGCTGCTGCTGCTACTATTGATCCGATTTGGCTGCTCGATTTGTTTGTTGGCTTTTTTGCTTCAGGGCTTGCTTGATCTATCTCTCTTTGTGTCCTCGTTTTTCTTTCTTTCTTGGTAAATATACTATCACTAATGTGTTGTTTCCTATTACGCCCCACCCATCACTCTTGCTCTATCATCTCCACCCACTTAATCTCTACTACTATGCGCCCACTGTCCGCCTGTCTCTTGATCTCGTGTTGCTCGTTGCCCTCTCGTGCGTCTCCTTGTGTGTTTTGGTGTGTCCAGTTTTCCGCTCCCGAATGTCCTTTTCTATCTGCCTCTGTGCCAGTTTCTCTCTCTCGTATCATCCGAGCTAGCTAATTCATCGCTCGCATTATTCTGCATGTACATGTAAATGTGTCATGCTCGAGCGTGTCCGTGTCCGTCTGCCTCTCTCCGTCACACCCACCTTCCCTTCCTTCAGTCCTTCCCACTCCACTCCAGTCCCTTCTCATTTCCCATACATAGGCTTGGCATGCTGCTTACTCATTTTGTGATTACTCACTTTACTTGGTACTGTCACTTTGCGCGCGCTCATCTATCGAGCGCAGCGCACACTCATCATTATCATCACTATCGATCGCACGCGTCTACTCTGTTCTCATTCAGATATTCAGAGCCGCGTCGCTTGTTCCTTGTTCCTCCTCTTCATTTCCACTCACTCTCTTTATCTGTCCCCACCCCAACCCAGCTCCACATTTCAAATTCCTCGTTGTGCTTTTTCCGTGTAATTTTCTCTCTCTTTCCCTCTCCACCAGTCGAGATCGGACGGGATGGGGATGCGTCCCTGATTCATATCTTGTGTGTGTCGTATTAACAATGTAGTGCTTTTATGGTCTCTGGAAAACGTGTGTGGAATAATAATCACATGCAATATGGCTAGGTACATTATTGGCGGTGACAGTGCAGGGTCTTGCTCTAATTTATCTAGTGGCGGCGGCGGCGGCAACTGAGGGGCGTTCATGAGATGATTCGCGGTGGATGGATGTGCTTGCATTCTTATTGCAAGGAAGCGTTCAGCAGCTATTCCCTATCGGTGTAGGTAGAAGGAAGTTATCCCCGATGGTTCGGGCAAATCCAGGGTTATTTCTTCGTTCAGCGCCATGAAAGAATTGTCAGAGGATAGTGTGGACTCCTGACAAGTGGTGGGCGATTAGTGTAGTGGTTAGCACATCAGTCTTCGACGATGGATAGCTGTTGGGGTCGGTTCGAACCCGGCATCGCCCTCTTTTTGCCTCTCTTACCTTCCGTCTGAGCCCCAGCGCACATGACTCACTGTGTTGTGTTTGCCTCGCATCGAACCAAAATATTTCCTGATGTTCGCGGAGAAACCCCGGACGTCGCCAGTCTCCTATCACAGCCACCTCGCTCCCGTCAATCGATCGTCAATCCTTGACCGCCACAATCCGAGACTACCACGAAGCACTGAAACCTCCTGCCTTGGCACCCTTACCTGCACTGTTGGAACCTGCGGTCGACAATCTGATTCAGAATCTTAGGCTGCGTCGTCGCCAATCTTTGTACTATGTCACTGGCGTCCGAATTGATCCATAACCCGAATGAGGAACCGATCGGGGACCATAGCGAGCCCGGACAACATTCCCTTCATGAGAGGCGCGCAGAGTTCGAGCCTGTGGTACCAGTTAACCACACAGATGGCACGAGCTCAGACTTACTCGCGGAAGAGTCAGAGAGCGATGATTCCCTCAGCGATAATGAAGATATTCCAATGATATCACCTTCAATGGTTGCAAGGTTCTCTATTCCTAATCTCCACAACAACTTGCCTCGTGATGAGACCCTGGAGTTATTGCGTAGGGTCGATGATGTATATCTCTTAAATTCGTCATTAAGATCCATGATTGTCTATTGCTGATGGCTTCCGTGTGCCCTAGGACCTCCGAACCCAGGATCCCGACTCTTTGAGACACCCCGAAACCCTGAGGCTTCTTCAAGATCTCTGTTACCTATTTCGTGCCGTCCCCCCATCATTTGCCCTAAAGAATGTCGTCTTCAACAAAGATCATGTGATCGGGAAAGGAGGTGAAGCCACACTGTATCGTGGGCGATTCGTGGATCAAGGCAGCTCTCGTACTGTGGTTGTACGAGAAGTAGTCATGCCTCCTAGTGAATGGAACTCGCCTGCAGGGAGAAAAGTGATCCGGGTGTGTGCAGACTCTTGGGAACCTGCTAATTGCTAAATCTTTGCATAGCTGGTGCACCGGGAGGCCATCACACATTCACAACTTGATCATCCAAATATACTCCCGTTCCTGGGGGTATTTCACAAGGAGGCTGGCTCTCCTCCCATGATGATCTTACCTCTTATGGAACATGGTTCACTCCAAAGCCTTCTTTCGAGATCACAAACAATTGACCTAGAAAAATTCAGGCGCATAGTCCGTTCCACATTTCTTATGACCTATGACCATCGGCTCATGAGTGTATTACCTAGCTTATTGGTACCAGTCGCGCAGTTGTGTATCTACACACTCGACAACCACCTATTCTTCATGGTGATCTACACCCTGTATGTCTTTCAGCGTCGACTTCAGCTTTATACTGTCTAAACACTAGATCACCTACACTCAGGGAAATGTTCTCTTGGACGCTGATGGGAACCCACAACTGTGTGATTTTGGACTCAGCCGCATTCGCCACGAGATCACCCGAACACGGACTATCTTGCGAGAAGCTGGGAGGCTCCGATTCTTGGCTCCAGAACTATCTGGGAACTGGATGGGACGCTTCCGCACCAGCCCTGAGAGCGATATATTCTCCCTTGGAATGACTTTTTATAACACTTGGAGTGGTAAGATACCTTTCTCTGGGATCCGAAGTGACTTTAAGGCCGCTGCTCGATACCGAAAGGGGCATCGACCAGAGTTGGGTACCGTTTGTGTAACGCTAACCCAAGCCCAAACACGCTCTCTGTGGGAGTTGCTGGGCGAAATGTGGACAGACAAACCAAACTCCCGTCCCTCGGGCTATGGTGTTTTACTCCGTTTGACCCAAATATTTCCCGATGCTCCATCGCCACTTGCACCAAGCCCCCCTGCATGGCTTCATTACAGTGAGAAAGGCTATCAACCCATCGCAAGAGGTGCTGTTTGATGCCACTGCTATCGCTATCATATGGAGTTCAGTATCGATCGTTCTTGGACTGGCTCTGCTTTTTGGTTCGGGGTTGAAAAGGCCTCCCAAGCCAATCGCATTGATACTCATGGGACGTCCTCCATGGACAAATGGAACGTGCGATTCTTGGGAGGAAAACGCGAGCCGATGATGGAACCCGAGTACACATATTACTCATAGTTGCCGATTCAATGGCCTAAAAAGGAGGATCAGGTCTAGGAGCTCTACCTTTGCAGCCGCAACTATCTTCAGCGGAGTGCTATTCCTGCCGTTTGAAGGAATGTAGATACGTTTACCTCACTCTACGATCGGAGCAATTTATCGGCAGCGGTGATGAGCATCCTTTAGTAGTGTGGGCCCATTCACTAAGATGACTAACGGGGAAAGTGTTACGGGCTCGGATCGGGAGAGGAATGGGGTTGTGAGTTGTCTATTGTCAGACGAGTGGAAGCGAGGAGGGTGGGCCCTCGCCATCCACATGGCCCGCATCGAAGTATAAATAGTGCCCACAGCTACGTTTTGATTGACAAGGGCTTGGTGGTATGATTGGGTGAAGGGGAGCTGGCGTTAGTGGACAGGACGGCTGTGACGGCAGCAGAGAGGTTAATAGTGAAAGGTAAATTCTAATGGTATACTGACGACGACGAGAGTGTGCAACACACTGTGCCATGGACGTGGACATGCCACGAACAGGGCTTTCGGTGTGGATAATGAGAGGAAATATTGCCAAGATTGTTCCTCTCGTGATGAGGCCTACAGCCATGTCCAGGGATCAGGACACGGCTTGAGGGTCCAGTGATTACACAGTGTGGCCACGGAACAACTCTTGATGCGATACGATGTTTTCGGCTCTTTCTTCCACCATGACTATAGCGGCGAGCGGAGCTAAGTCGCGGTTGGGTTCGGTTTGAGGTAGACATTCCCCACTTTTTGCATCGTCACTCATACTTTGGGCTGGTGGCTTGCTTGGTCGAGCCTTGCTCGTTGACAAATGAATGAATGGAGGCTCGTGACAATGACATCGCAACTAGGTCTGAGTCATAGACTAATATGAATGAGAGTTTCATTTAGCGATCGTGGAGCCGTCATATCGCATGCCTGCGACCCGTCCGTCGTGGCCTGGCCTTCGATATCAAGAGCGTCCGTCATCGACTTGATCCTGCGTGGTACGTCACTATGCTTCCTTCCAACATTCTGACATACATATGCCACGAACCATGTATACTTCCCTTGTAATTACACAAGTCAGTTAGCCACGCTGTAACAATCGGAACACTATAACTGTATGCGACGCGCGCAGACGGACTCCGTCTAAATCCTAGGACCATAGCAGTTAGGGCCTAATTTGAATGGAGAGCCTCTTCCCGCGCGCAGGTTCCAGGGAACTACGATCGCTTGCTTAAGCTTATGCATATATGAATATGATCATACTTCCTGGAAGGACGTCGATGCGTCAATGCGTGGTCTAGGATCGGGGCGCGCGTTTTCCCCCGCGGCCGTCTGGACACGCAGGCTCGCGCATGACTTAGAGTCAGTCCCGTTGCAAGATTATATCATTACGAGATAGAATCTTGAGCCGCCCAACGCAAGAGCTACCAAGGCGTGTGCCAAGGAGCAACGTTAAGGCGAATGTCCTAGCTCATGCGTGAAGGAAAAACGTTTCACTGGTCCACCCATACTCCTATACCAAGGACGATAGTGCTAACGGCAGTGGGAAATACTGAGATAACACGCATTGGTAGTAACACCTCTGGATCTTGTGTGTATCGTAGAGAACAAAGTAGGTGAGAGGCGGGTCCTTCGTTGTGCGCTGCCAATTCCCTGGGACAGTCGAGGTCGTCCATCGTATACTGCACATAAAGTCATTCATCCTGATCAGTTCCTAAATTTGGCGCCACGAGACGGATGATGATGAGGATGCTGGTGACAATGATCCGGCGGCGTGGTCGAAGGCTGTCAAGGCACAGTGCCAGAGTACAGCTGAACATAGTCGTATTAGTTTAAGCGAACAACTGGGATGAATGGCATGTACTCCTCACTTTGTCACTCCCGCCCAGAAGTCCTCCGTTCGACATATGTATATATGTCATGGGCGGTACGGCTTCAGCGTTGATTCGGGTGCTGCTGCGCGCCAGTGCAGGCGGAGACAGTCAGTCGAATGAACAAGATGACACCCAGATAGAGTAGGCTAGCGCTACTCGACTCGAGGTTCATTCATCTTGGAGGAGAGATCTTTCGCAATAAGTAATTTTGTATGGAGCTATCTGTCATCCCTCGGATTCGATCATCCATGTAAGCATGGAACACACGTCTCAGCAGCAAGCGGCAGATCCACCACAATAGAACAGATGAAACGAGACCAGATATGAATTGGTTGGGGAAAAGCCAAGGGTACAGGATTCGGAAGGTATGCCGCACAAGATGACGTTGACATTCAGCGGCGGCGGTTTCGGGTGGTGTAAGCTTGCTCCAAGCAAGTCGCATGATCATGACGACCACAGAGTGAGGCAGATTTTCTGAGAGTGCAGCTCATGGAGGACGTGTTCCCGAGATGCCGTGAATCCTAGATACCCGTCGAGACACGGAGATAGCTTTCCCTCACTCGTTAGATCTCCGTCTCCTGTCTGCTTTCTCCTCAGAGACTGACTCTCGCGCGTTGCAGGGAAGCGATAAATTCGGCAGGCCTCGGGATCAGTCCGATCAGGGAGCATTAGTCACTGAAAGGATCCCAATACAACCGCCGCAAGTTCCACCGACTCAATACGCATTCCTTTAGATCCGTGTCACACCCACATGATGTGAAGGGAACTTGACGAATCTCCCTTTTACGACGGGGGCGCTAATCGTTCTCCTGCCGCGACATCGTATGAAGGAGACGTATATTCTATGCTTCTAGAGGATTTCCCGGTGCTTGGATATTGTTGTCTTTTTTTGGTGATAGTGGGGGTTTGGATAGGTATTCCAGTGATGGATGCACATAAGGTAGCGGACCCGCCGGAACGGTCCGCTGTCATCTGAACTTTCATGAGCAGCGGCTCTCTTGTCCAAAAGTGGACAAAACGTATAGAGATGGGATCGACCAGTCATCTCCA